TAGGTTCCCCAGTAGACCCCTAACCATAAGGGCACCCTTTTTCCAACTCTTTGGGTTCAAAAAGGGCCACCAACAACAAGAAAGGGCAACAGGGCACTACTGGGGAACCTAGACTCCTATACCCCACCTAAGCTTGCGGAGCCTGAGCAACGAACCCTAAACCCCTAAACCCTAAACCCTAAACCCTAAAGCCGAAACCCTAAACCCTAAACACCTAAGCTTGCGGAGCCTGAGCAATGAACTCGCCTCCCTGATCGAAGCCGACCACTCCATCGAAGGGCCCGTTCCTCTGACAGACCGGTTTAGGGTTTAGGGTTTAGGATTCAGGGTTTAATCTCGGTCTGGGCTTTTCTACACTGCTGTTTCCGACCGGCGATGGGCTTTAGGATTCTTGGTTTTGGGTTTAGGGTTTCAGGTCTAGGGTTTAGGGTAATGCATCGGTGGTGCTGGGTGGTGTTAAAAAGGCGGTAATTGTTGGCAGGTGGTGATAGGTGCATCATGGTGGTAGAGTTGGTAGTGACGTCCTTGGCGACGGCGGTAGTGGCAGCCCTGCGGCAGAGGTAGTGGTACTGGACAGTTGCAATACCCTAATTCCTAAACCCTGAACCCTAGTTTGACCTGTCGGGTCTTATAAGGCCACGCCCAAATTGCCAAACAGTCCAAGGTTGCTTGCTCGACGACTGCGAAGCCCAAGTCCAAGTAAAGTCAACTGTTTGTTTTGGCCAATTAGACATCAGGCCCGGAAGCGTCAGACCCTATCCTCAACCCACCTTGAGCCACCATACCCGTCTATATACTTGTTTGTAGGATCGTGCTGCATGCCCCCTCTGTGGACAATTCCAGACACGTAGAGTGTGGCAGCTCGTGCGGGTTGCAGCGAGACCCAGCCCAAACACCATCTCCAGCCGCCAAGCATGACGATGCTCCACAACCCACACCCCAAACCATCATCCCTAAAACCGATCTATATGCCCAAAACTCTAAGCCCTGATCCCGAAACCCTATAACCCCTAATTCCTAACCCCCTAAACCCTAAACCCTAAACCCTAAACCCTACACCCTACACCCTAAACCCTACACCCTAAACCCTAAACCCCTAAACCCTAAACTCTTCACCCTAATCCCTAGACCCTCGCCTCCCCTTGAGGACATGGGTCCTCAGGGGTGCCTAATGCAAGACACGGCGAAGCTGTCAGACCCAAGAGGTGCCATGTCCGTATAAGAATTCCTTTAAGGGTTTTGGGTTTAGGGTTTAGGGTTTAGGGTTTAGGGCTTGGTATAGTTTAGGGTCCTCTGTACCTATATAGGTTCCTTTAGAGGCTTCTCGTTGTTCAGTACCTTTCAGGGCCTCTAACAAGACCTTGGAGTTTAGGGTTTAGGGCAGGGGTTAAGTGTAGGGGTTAGGGGTTTGGGTTTAGGGTTAGGGTTTAGGGGACCCGTAACTGTATTGAAGAGCAAAACCCCTAACACCCTACACCCGTAACCCCCCCCCCCCCCAAGCCACAAACCCTAAAATTCCTGACTTTCAATAACCCTAAACCCTGAACCCACACCCCAAAACACCCCGAACCCCTAAAGTCTAAAACCCGAATCCGTAAGAACTGAAACCCTACAGTCTAAACGGGAGTCCTGAATCCCAACGCCCTAAAGTCTAAAGGGTTTAGGGTGTAGGGTTTTATGGCTTTAGGGCTTTAGAGTTTTAAGGTTGAGGGATTTAGGGTTTAGGGTTTTAGGGTACAGGGTTTTAAGGTAAAGCCTACCCCGCCCCCACCCCTAAACCCTAAACCCTAAACCCTAAACCCTAAACCCCTAAACCCTACCCCCCCCCAACCAAGCTGCGAAGCACGAGCCCGCCAAGCTTCTCTCGGGCAAAATCCTTGAACTTGGACAAAGTCTCATCGAATCCTGCCCGCTGCCCCCAAGATCCGCGGTTTAGGGCTTAGGGTTTAGGGTTTATGCTTTACAGTTCAGGGCTTTAGGTGTAGCCCTAAACCCTAAACCCTAAACCCTAAGCTTTGGGTTTAGGGGTTTAGGCGGTTGGGGGTAAGGGGTGCAGGTGTTTAGGGGTGGAGGGTCTTCTTTCAGCGAACCATGGAAGTGCCTTTTCTGGGCTTTGAAGTAACCAGGATAGACTTTTGTTTCATAATGGTTCCTTCAAGGAACAGGTCCCCAAAAAAAGTCTTAAAGTATGGTGCTCCAAAGCCCAGTTTCTGGGTTGCTGTTTAGGGAACTTGCTTCAGGGCTTCCTTACCCTAGGCTGCCAAGGACCTTATAGAGTTAGGGCCCTAGACCTTGGTAGAAGGCAGAAGTATACAAGGAAGGCAGCAAGTACGAGCTTCTGGCTAGGTCAAAGGGGCTTACGAAACTCCAAGTAAACATCTGCCCAGGCCCCAATAATTTCACTACGGCGTTGGGGTATATTGGAGAATAATAAGAATGAAGGAACCCTGGAGACTCGTATTGGTATTTACTCGAACTTTAAGCTTCTGTATTAACATCGCTCACATCTGGGACCTATGTTGTCCTATAAATCCAGACCCCTACCAAGAAGCAAAACTCAATTGAATATATATATATATATATGGCCTAAATCAGATAGGGACCCTACTATAACTTAAGGTATATCCCTTATTTCAAACATTTTGGATGTCAATCCCTGTGGATCCCTTAGAGGAGGCCTTTAAAGGAACCCCGATGGATCCCTTACAGGAGCGCTTAAGGGACTCCTATGCAAACTGCACCTACTGGGAGTCAGAGGATGCAAGGACAACAGACCATGCATGCGTCTCAGGGCTTCCGGGTTTTGGGGCTTAAGAGGGTTTAGGGTTTGGGCTTTTAGGGTTTAGGGTTTTGGCTTCAAGGTTTAGGGTTTAGGGGGCTTCAAGCTTCAAGGGCTTAGGGTGCAGCGCTTAAGGTTTAGACGGAGCGAGTCAGAGTAGAGACGAGTTGAACACTGCCTCAGGGTTTACATATAGTCTCCATTTGTCGTTCCCTTTTGGGGTTACCTTACAGGGTCCTAAATGTGGGAATATTCTAAGGCAAAGGCGGGAATACACTGGAGACTATAGGTATGGCTTCACAGGCTGTGGGCGGTTTGGAGCTGTCAAGCTCCCCAGCCGTGGCTTCTGATCCGTGTAGTCTGGAGCTTTACGGTTTAGGGTTTAGGTTCAGCTCGAACGTCGGGACACTTTCTGAGTATTCTCAGAACTTGAAACCGCACAACCTAAAAATCTTGTTGCAGCCTTTTTCGCAAAAGTTGGTCATACTCAGTGAACATACCCATAGGCCCCATAGTAGTTCCTTTTGTGCCTTATACTTAGGATCCTATTAGGTAATCCCCAAAAAGAACTACTATGGGGCCTATGGGTAACCACCACTGATTGCCACTGGCAAGACTCCCATAGTTGCTGCACCTTACCAGGAGGTTTCACCCGAACACCCTGCACAGCAGTGAAACGCGCCAGCACCCAGTGTCTGGGAGATTAACCCTACTTGGAGGATCATGGGACCTGGCAAGTAAGGTTATAAGTCCCTAAATTGGGGGTTATAAGTATAGTTACCCTAATTGATGAAAGGCAGCACCGCTTACAGGCAGAGCATCTCACACCATGGGCGCGACCTAAGCGAATTGTCTTTTTACCACACAAAGCACACCTGTGAAAGGCTTTCGGCTGGGGTGTACAAGGTTGCCTACTCGCCTCTTCCTGAAAAGCTAGCTTCTGCCGAGAAGGGCATTAGCTCTTGTGCTGGCTTCTGCCGAGAAGGGCAATAGCTCTACTGCACATGAACGGCTCAAGGCTGTCTTCGTAGCCTTCCTGCGGTCACACAAAAGCATGCAGCCAGAGCTTGCACTCATGTTTGCGAACCCTGAATTAAGGATTTTTACACTCCTCCTTGACTGCTCCGTAAGGATCTGTCATCTCCTAACGCTCTGGCCCGACTGCAAAAGCTGGGTGTTAAAAACCCGCTCATACTCTCTTGCGCGCTCCAGGTCGTCGCCGTAGTTCACCCGCTTATCCGGATCTCCCTCAGCACGATTCAAGCAGTATTGACACAAGCGTCTTCTTTCGATCCTTTCGGCAGTACCACGGTGTCTGAACGCATGACAGTCCTCGTAGACGTGGAAGCACTCGTTTCCTGGCACATAGTATGTTTCCCCTGGAGGCTCATGTACATAGCGTAGGATCACCCTGGTTTCTGGAGGGGTGATTGGTGTAAATATTCCAGCTTGGCACCCAACTTCTCTCGACGTCTTTGCTCCTTTGGCCAGTTGCCTCAGCAGCCGTAATCTTTCTTCAGCTGGTACACTCACCTCAGAAGACGCCGATGGGGCCTCGCCAGAACGAGGTGGATTCTTGGGTTGCTCTGTCGGAGTTGTAACAGCGTCGCGAGCCCTTTGCTCCAGCCGTCCTCCAGCTCGAACTTGAATCTCCCTCTGAATCGCAGTCGTAGTTGCATTCCGCAACTTTTGTAGCCTTCTCACACGTCTCGAACTTGCGCCCGGTGTCACCCTGTCATAGGCAATCCAGACCAGCCACTTCAACAGTTCCCACGCCAGCAGAAACATAATCACAGCAGCCCAAAGAAAAGCCCAGGTAACAACGCCATAGTCCACTTGAAGGTTCGTTGTGACGACCATCGCCTCTCCATCATCCCAGTTGTAGGACTCGCACACCACAGCTTGAGACAGAACAAGTAGGCCTATTAAACCCTTAGGGACTTGGTTAGGGGCGCGGGCTCTGCAGCTGCTGAGGCTAATGCTTTTGTTGCCTGCGGCTGCTGCATCGTCATTGCTGTCGTCATCTAGGCCACGCAAATTGATCAGACGACTTAACGTCTTAATCCGCTGCGAAGCTAAAGCCTTTGTCAGAAGGTCAGCTGGCTGCACTTCCCCAATACAATGGTGAACGGTCACAGCTTGCGTTGCTATAAGCTCTGCCACCCAAGCACTGCGGAGTCTCAGGTGTCTCGTCCTCCAGCTTCCACTTCCATTGGCAATAGCTAGAGCCGCCGTAGAGTCTGAGAACAACTGTAACGGCAAACCCCCAGGCATAACATCAGTCATCATAGCATTTGAACTCTGTAATGCCAGTACAGCTTCCGAGATTGCAGTCAGCTCTGATTCCGCGGTGCTCAACGTTACTGTAGATTGCCGTCCTGACCTCCATGCGATAGCGCAATCGTTCAACAGTATCAGCCAGCCTGAATGGCTTCGCCCCCCCTCCGGAGCAAAGCTTGCATCGCAATATGCGATCAGCCCCGAAGAGTCTCCTTGGTATACCAGGCTGTAGTCTATCGTCCTCTGTAAGAAGGCGATCGCCTTTTCTGCAATCTGTACCGCTCTGCGTGGCGCTCGTGGCCAGCGACCCCACGAGCGATGCCACGTAGCACAAATCTGGCCTGCTTCGCTGCGACACCCACAATAGCTCTCCCGCACACTGCTGGGCTGCTTTCAGCTCGCCTTCCGTATAAATACCTTCGTGGTCCTCGATGTTGAAGTTGGCCAAATCTTTCGATATCGGGATGATGTCCTTCCTGGTGGGTGGGATGCTGTGAAGACGAACTAACTCCTCTATATAGGAGCGCTGTGAAAGGGCATATCCTTGTGTACACCTTGATATCTCGATGCCCAAAAACCGAATAGCTCCGTCCGAGACCAATTGTAACTCGCTTGTCTTCCAGATATCACGGATCACCTTCGCGAGCTCCCTAATCATCTCCGACTTCCCACACAATAAGATATCGTCCACATAAACCACCAACACGCCAATAAGGACTGATCCCTCTTGCAAAACTGACCACCATGACGGCTCCACTCTTCCCTGCATCAACGTTATCCGCTTGCCCTCATACACCAACTGAACGCGAGCCAACCGAATATCTCTGTAAGACCCCCATAACTTCGGAGATTCCTGTAAGCCATATACTGCATGTGTTAGGCGCCATAGTTCTCCTGGACGGCATAGCCCAATTTTCACAAGCAGCTTAGGGGGAATCCCATACACGAGCGGTGCGTCCTGAAGCTCTTTCAGCGGCGTCTGGAGAAAAGCGGCCACAACATCGATCATGCCGAGGTCCCAATTGAAGAACCGAGCCAGAGCTATGGCTGCTCTCACAACTTCTGCGGGAGCCGTGTTTGTATAAACTTCGCCCGGTTGGTGCGACGCCATATTGCCACACACCACGATTCTGGCCTTTCGCTTGTACAACTCTGTAGGCTGCTCCCCTTCCGCAGACAGGTCCGGCGGCTTTACCGTGAAAACCACCTTCATAGGTATCACCTGGCCTTGTCCTGCACTAAGGTCCCGCTGCACATCTGGATCATCGCTCATCACCTTGTCTACCGCGTGCTCCAGGGATATGATCTCCTTTTTCAGTGACGGGACCCATCTGTCAACATAACCAGCTACCTCCTTGGGGCTCACCGTATGCACTATATTGAGAGGTGCCTCCAGTGATTCCAACAACTGCTCCACATTGTCGGAGTACACTACCTCCGCCTTTTGTACACGCGGACCACCATGGGTATCTGCATCCAAAAGAACTGCTCCAGGTTGTAGGTCCAGGAATAATTCCCATTCGCTCCACTCTTCCTGCGCTGCACAAGTCTGTCGCTGCTCCTGCTGTAGGCTTTCGATGGCAAACTCATCTCCCTTGTGCTCACTTTGCTTTGTTACTGTAACCTTCCGCAACTCACCTGGCCTATACTCCGTGACCTCATCGGAATAGGTACTCTCCTCAATCTGCTTTATCCCCACACTAGGTACTGACAGCATGTTGAGATTGACCACCGGAGCTGCTTCATCATCAAATATGGGCATAGGAAACCCCATTGTCCACAGCCTCGCACGATCCTCAGAAGGTAGATTTCGTAGCATTCCAGGAGTATAACCCACTACGACCAA